GATCACACATAATGGACGTACAAACAAGCACAAAGACTCTGCGAAACTTGTGCCGTGTACCAAAGAAAGGGAATACAAACAGGTAATGCTTGAGTGGAAAAAAAACCTTAATATTCAGTTAAAATTCTATTGTCATAGATAACGCTCGTTTGACAACCTGCAGGTTCCATCATAAATGGGGAACCTGAGCACAATCAGCAATAACCCCAGCGGTGGCACCCCTTCGTTGCATTACTTCATCAACCCTTATCCTCTCCACGACATAAGCATGTGAAGAAACATATGATATTCCCTTGCCTAGAAGAATGCATCTCACTTTCAGATGATCATGTCAGCTTTGAGCCCTGCCCTCCACAATCTCAATCCTGCTTTTTTCTCTGCTGTACCAAGCATATGTAAACTCCAGCTAAGCATGCAGAATATAAGCAAATACAACATGCACATATACAGGCAGATTATCCTGTAATATCTAGGACCAATTTGCTGAAACATCATTTCCTTTCCTGTAATAGGATTAAACTTACAGTTTTGTGGGCAGGTAGGCTGCAGTATCATCTTTGCTCTTGATGATGTCATTACACTTGTCAAGTGTCTGAAAAACAGTAAATGTGTCTCCAATGCTGTAGAGAGCAGCAAGATTTTTTGCTAGTAGTTTTCGTGTAGGTGGCCCAGGGGAACTGCTGATGAGTCCTGTTAGCTGTTCTACAAGCTTCTTCTGTTTTTCCTTGACATCTGTCTGTTAATGGACCAATAATAAATAAAATTAGAAAAAATAATTCAACCCTGTGTCTTGCATCCAACACCCAGAAAAATGTGAAGTGAAAGTGTGAAGTAAATCTTGTATCACTCACACTGGTATGTAATTCAGCAAATTGCTTGCATCAGAGAGACCTGAGAGACAATCACTAATAGTAAAGACAGAGTAACAGCTATTTCTGAGCATTTAACATCTATTTAATTTTCATTTTTTAAAAACACTTAATACAAATAAAGTAATGCCTACCTATAGCATATTTTAATTCTCTTTACTGTCAAAAACCCCTACTCTGAGAGGGAAGGTTTTGCCTTCCAAATATTTACAACAATGAAGAACTTAAAGCAAGCTACAAGTTATATAAGAGCTGTACTGACTGCCTACAATTAGACATTTTAAAACTGCAAACAAACAGAGGCTCTTCAGGTTGAATCTAAATTATACAGTTATTACCAGGCCATTACATGTCAACTTTCTCTAGCATGAAATTAATATAAATGTTTTAGGAAGAAGGGGGGGAATCCCATTAAATTACCTTGTTAGCAGCTACCAGCACTTTGTCCAAAAATCTTAACCACTCGAAGATAAAGACTGGTCTCTTTGCTTCTGTGATTTGAGCTAATGCTTCCTCATTCAGTAACAAACTGTGAGCCAACTCCATAACTGGTTAAATTCCAGTTTTATTGTAGACTTGTGAAGCAACTCTAAAATAAAAATGTAAATATTAGTATAAAGTATAGTACAACAGTACAAAGCTTTGAAAATCAAATTAAAATATGAAGATTAAATCTATATATTACAATGGTTCCACCCTGATCAGACATGTCTTAGCTAAGCAGTCCCACATAAGAGGTACTCACTTATTTACAACTGAGTACATCCATTAGTATATGAGGAAAGGGAGCTGTTAATTGTAAAAAAGAGCACCTATGGGCAACTTCACAGTGCAACTCCTAGACAAGAAAGATATAAGTACCTATTTAAAGAAAAAACAAAAGAGGAAAAAAAAAAACAACCCACAACACACCCAGAAAAGAGATATAGGAATCATCTCACTCAACTTACAACAGAATAAGCACTGTACCTATTCAAGACCTTTGATCACACTCCAGAAGCTTGGGCATGAACCTGGCCACCTTTTCAACATCTTCAAATAGACAAGGTGAGAAGAAGATGAGCCTATCACAGGTAAGAATTTCCAATCATCACAAATTTGAGAGGCAGGAACAGTGACAGCATTTGGCTTCATTGACCTAAGACTTCCCAGACCTCCACTGCCTTGTTTTAAGGGCTGGACAAATAAGCCTTCTAAAGCCCAGGAAGCCTTTTGAGTGAGCCTGGAATACAAGCAGCTGCCAAACGACTGCAAGTCTCCCCAGCAGGCAAAATACTACAGACCAAACACTGGAGACCCTGCCCAAATAGTGAATGGGGGGAAGTAGCAAAAAAGCACTATCAGTTTAAGCAAACAGTCCACAGACAACTTAACCTTAGCCAACCACATTTATACAAAAAGTAACTAACGGAGAACAGATAGAAAAATAAAACTTAGGTTAAAAAGCACAAAATTAAGTCAACCATCTAAGCAAAAAGAAACTGAAAAAGCAAAAAAGCCCAACCCCAAAACCTGAATGCAGTGATGCTGAACTGAAGAACAGAAGAAGCAAAGTAACTAAGGAGTATTACGCAAGACATCATCTTTTGACAACTGCATCGTTCCACTTGCACCCTCAAGTGTTCACAGCTGCTTCCTCATTCGTGGTCCAACCCAATAAACTCCTCACTTCAACTGAAGTGATGTAAATTAAATAATCTATTTTTTAAAAAAAACAATCCCCAAGTTAGACAGTAGTAAAGGGACATATTAATAATAGAACTGTATTGTGCTTCTAAATTCACCTTAATGGTGCTGATGCAACTAAAGCACCACAATACGTGTTCTCTGCTCTTTGGTAGCTTGCATTCTAGTATTTTTGACTCCACACATCTCTGGGGACAGGTCAGCAAAAGCCGAAGAGCCTCTCACATGCAAGCTGATACACACCTCCCGCATCACCTCCAAAAACATCTTGCAGCTCTGCTATTTGGGGGTTTTTAAGTTATAAAGAACTGAGGAGGTATTGCCTGTAAATAATGCACAGACCCATTGCCTTAAGACACCTTTATATGAGAGTACAGAGAAATGCAATGAAGGACAGCACTACAATTCTTTGGATACTATCCCAGAGAACTACACTACTCATCACAACCACGCAGCACAGAAGTACAGTAAGACAGCATAGCTCACCAGTCCTTCTCCTCCCCAGGTCATTTTCCCCTGGCCTTTAGAGCCATGAACCCATTTTACACCTCCCACACACTCCCTTACATCTTTATGTAAATTTAGGAAACAAAAGCTCTGAGCTCCCAAATCTGCACAGACACTCAGCTGTGCCACTGAAGCACCAGGGATCAGATACAGGAACCATTACTCAAATATTCAGCTGACTGAAGTCTAACACACAGCTATGCAGGCAGGCAACCCAAAGCCCACCTACACTGGTCAAAGGTTTGATTCAAAATTCAGCACAAAACTCCTACCAAGTTCTACTCAATCTGGTGAGGGCTGGGTCTCACTAGGAATGTTACAAGGAATAAATACACTGTTATCTCCTACAGGATGCAGAGCAAAAGCCTACCAAAGTCAATTAGCATCCAGTAAGTTATGCTGAAACGTTATAGAGATTATAAAACGTTCAGATGTACTAGGGTTCCTTTCTGTGCTCCAGCTGTTCTTCTGTAGCTTAAATCCAGAGAAGCAGTGGATGCCCCAGCCCTGGAATTGTTTAAGGCCAGGCTGGATGGGGCTTTGAGCAACTTGGTTTAGTGGGACGTGTCCCTGACCTCGGCAGGGGGGTTGGAACTCAATGATCTTTAAGGTCCCTTCCAACCCAACCTGTTCCACGACTCTTGGCACTTCAGCGGACCCAGCAACCTGAAAAACGAGCAAATTCAGGAGAACTGGCACCCTCCTGAAGAACTGCCTCGGGTCAGGAGGCTTTTGTGCCTGGGTCCCTCCCACCCGCACCGGTAACTTCCACGAGCTGCATCACCTCTCCCGGTGCATCACCTTGCCCCGTCAGGAATCCCCCTCACGAAGCACGAGGTACGCGCCAATTCCTCGGCGAAGGAATGAAGCTAAAACACCGTCAGACGCGCTGCCTCACACACTCACACACACGCACTCACACACACGCACTCACACACACGCACACACTCACTCACACTCACACTCACACTCACACACACTCACACACACACCCCGGCCCTTCTCCCGCGGGGGCAGCCGGAGGCCCCGCC